AAAAAAAAAAAAAAAAAAGAATGGGTGAATCACCCTTACCCTGTTCTCCTCATTGCCCTTTATCCATTTAAACTGTTTAAGCTATGGGATTTTCAAAGTAAAAATTCTGGACCAGTTTAAGTTGGGGAAATAAATGGTGAACCCCCACAGCAGTGGGTTGAGAATGGTAATCTGGAAGAAATGGATTTTTCTTGGTTCTGGTCCCCTGGCTGCCACTGTACCCCAGGGCAGAAGGGGTGTGGCATACGACCCCCTGACATGGGATTCCTGACCTGTTAGTTTCCAACTCCTGGCACTGGGCCTGGTTTCCACATGGCTGCGGGCACTTTCCCCAGCCCCCCTGGGATCCTCTGAAAGGCACATGGGAAATAGAGCTTGCTGGTGTTCTGGGTCTACCATCAGATCTACTTACAGAAGAACATCACTCTCTTGGTTTCAGTAACCCCGACAGCAAGCCATCATGCCGATAAGATTCCTCATGATTGCCTGCTCTGTGACTCAGATGCACGCGCACGCGCGCACACACACGTAGACGAGGCATCGCTGCCATCTGGCTGAACCCCATGAGGAAAGAGCCACTTCGGTACCTGCCTAGTTCTCTCCCCTACATCTGCTGACTGTGCCAGGGACCAAATTATTGCCATAAAGCCGGACGGGACAAAAGGGCTATGAAGGAGCTTGAAAAACAAACGAGGGAAGTGCAGAAATGTTTTCAGCCAGATTGCTTTTAAGATAGGGTCTGCTCAGTCAACTGCAAGCTGCCAACTCAGCCAGGCTCCTGGGACAAATCAGAGTATGTGTGTGGCTTTGGCTACAACAAAACCTGGGCAGCCAAGTGGAGAAGCAGGAAAAACCAAAACAGCAAAATGAATGTGACCAACTAAAAAAAAGTTAAAAAGAGAACTATGTTTACTTTGGGGAATGTTAACCCATACCATGGAACACAGTATCATAACTTATAAGCATGTTTTTTTCCTTGAACCACGTTTTTTTTTATATGACGTAAGACTACACTTTTAGAATTATATTTTAATTCGGTTTAACAATAGCACAAATTATTCTCAGTCTGTTTAGAAAATGGGTTTTTCATGTCAGATGAGACTATAGATTTTTCTTTTATGCTTTTAGTTACTCTGCACTGTGTATCCTGATTCGTATAGACCAAAAGCTGAATCTCAGGTTCTACACATTCATACTAATTTTTTTAAATCAACCTAGTATAGCAGTTGGTCCTGTCCCCAGAAGAGAGACTCAGGATATAAGATGAATGAGTGTGCCATTTTAGGCATTCACATTTCCCTGTGTTCTAAGCATCTGTCTTACTGTTTTATTCCCATTATGTAATTCTGGCTATAATACAGCATATGGGATTTTCAATAATACAGCATTCCATTTCCATTTCCCAAAAGAAACCCAAACATCAGTCTGATTTTAAAGCTGAGTAACACTGGTGAAAAGACTCTCACCTGGAGATAAAAAGGAAGTAAACTGATAGAAGATTTCGGTGTCCTTCTTCTGACCGCTGTACCCCACAACGCTGCCGACCTCCAGTGGGAAGGTCTTGAGGAGAGCACCGGTGGCTAGGTCGTGAAGCTGCAGAATGTTTCTCACGTCGTGAAGGTAGCATAACACCAAAAAGTTAGACCTCACGCAAGCTACCCATTCTGAAAAGGCAAGGACAGATAAAAGCTAATGTAGCTTTGAAAGGAGTGAAAAGCATACTTACTTCATTGAACAACAGTTCTTCAGCTCTCCATTGTGCTATGCAGCAATGAGACTTGCAAAGTGATTTTATAACTGGATGTAATCGTTCATCTAGTTCCAGCATATTCCTTTAATAAATGATTGTTACTGTCATGTCCAGAGGAAACAAAATATTCTACAAAGTATTTTGTGATACAAATAATCTTGCCTACTTATTTTTTTTTTAAGATTTTATTTCTTAATTTGACAGAGAGAAACAAAGCAAGAGAAGGAACATAAGCAGGGGGAGTGGGAGAGGGAGAAGCAGGCTTCCCGCCGAGCAGGAAGCCCGAGGTGGGGCTCGATCCCAGGACCCTGGGATCATGACCTGAGCCAAAGGCAGACGCTTAACAACTGAGCCACCCAGGCACCCCAATCTTGCCTACTTATTTTGTGCCCAGTATCATGGTATAGGAGGTAGAAACATGTCTGTCAGGGCTGTTTTTCTGACAAAAATGTATTGTACTCCGGGTATGTGCCAGATACCCGGCAAGGTGCTGGAGAAACAAGCAGGCAGATGATGTCACTTCTGCCCTTAAGACACAATCATATAAAAATACAAGTAATAACATGTAAGCAGAGGTAAGTGAGAGGCTGGTTGGGGACCCAAAACACACAAGAGCCCTAAACAAGCGCTGAACCGCATCTTGAGTACAGGGGTGTGAGGTGACAGGTGCCTAGGGTGGTGTCAGAGACAGGACACCTCTCTGGGGGATGAGGTGGTGGGAGGACAGGCAACTCAAGGAAGGACAGCCAGAGCTGGAAATAGAGAGAGAAAAGGAATATGAACAACCAGGAGGGAGGGAAGGGGGAGGGAAGGAGGGGAGGAGGGAGGGAGACTGGTAAGGAGAACAAGTGAGACATCCATTTCCAGGAAGAAGAAAGTTGCTCAGTGTGGAGTAGGTGGAGAGGGTGGTGGTCTGCAGGGGATTTGGTGAGCCAGACAGGGGAGGTTAGTTCTCACTTAGCCGTTACTGGGGAGTTACTGTTTGGATAGATGGATGACATAAATAAAGATGATAGCAATGAAGGATGCAGAACAATGGAGGTCTACGGAAGGATGGAGGGGAGATGAGGAAGAACACTACTGCCATTATTAGCCAGTCAAATCAAATCAAGCTGGAACGAAGTCTAGGGAGGGAAGAAAAAAAATGCATTTTCCAAGAAGAATCATCAGGATGTGGTAACCGTGGGGATATGGACAGTAAGGCAGAGAGAGGAGTCCTCCTCAACTCCTGGGGTTGCGACGAGGTCAGGAATGGTGCCGTCAGTGACAGAGCCGGGACAGGAGTTAAGGGGGCCGATGGGGAGAGGAGAAAACGAAGGGCAGGCCCAAAGCACTACCCATTCTGGTGTGCACAGGATCAGCCTGAGGTAAAGACGGGGCCCCCTGCAGAGGGAGAGATGCTATAGTAAATGGAAGGACAGGGTAACAGGTAATATAGCTCAAACATGCAGAAAAGAAAAGCCTTTTATGCTGTGGGGTGTGGTGGGGGGAGGTTCTTGACATTTATTCTTACAACCCAAGAAACTAGTGGTTCATGCTTATATTATTAATTACCAATATGAACCAGACACTGGCCAGAGGGAACTCTTAAGGATCACCCGGGGCCTCAAGGGTGCTAGGTTGTTTGGATTACCATAGCAAGCTTTTCCGCCAAGTGAGGACAGAAGAACTCTTATATCCAAAAGTGATTTGCTCATTGTCCAATACAATTTTTTTTTAAAGTGCCTCAATCAAGCAATATATTTCAGGTGGCCTTAATGTTTTAAAGTACGGGGGAAAAACTGAAGTAAATTATTTCTGTCAAAGAATAATCACTCTGTGTTAACTATGGGCATGTCAGAATTATAAAACAGAGTGAATAAGAAAAAGACAAGGTGATTTGTAGACTGTCGTTAATAAAAGCTCTGACTTTATGGCTGTACTTTATAACTCATCTTTAGTTTTTATTCTCCATAGGGCATTCTGTGCTAATGATACATAGCGAATGCAATAGCGCTTCTCTTTGATGAGTTCTAGTGAATACTGAAGGTTTCTTCTTTCTAAAGACCTTATAACCTTATAGAAGGAAGATTATAAAAATATATCACCCCCCACCCCCAAATCTCCAAGCATCGATTTACATCTCATTCGATCTACAAGTGAAAGAGAATGTCACCTTAAGACGTAAGTAAAACTGCTTCTTTGGGACTTTAAAAGGCAGAAAGAGGACATGGGTCTGGGGAAATACTTCTATCTCTTCATAGCTCCCTATGTGAGGATCACAGATGCAATCTGACTTGCTCCTGAAAAGCACCCAGGGCACCTACATGAAGACTTATGCCACTAAAGCTCACTTGAAACCAAATATGAAGTCAATTCATGTGGCACTTAGGAAGCACTCACTAAATGCTGGCTCTTACCATCCTTGAGGGGACATTCTGTCTCAGTTTGGACAGAAGCCATCAGGCTACCAAAGTCACTACAAACCAGATTCCCCATATGAAGATGTTAAAGGAAATGGCCAAAACCTTGCTCCTTGGCTCATGGATCCCTCATCCAAATACAAATGAAGATTTCTGAGGAGGCAGGTGGAGGAATTTCCCTGAAGAGAGCCCCTGTCATGTTCCAGGTCCCCCTCCCCCCTTGGGAGAACCCCAACTTATGAGACAGCCAAACCTGAGAAGCTAAAGGGACTATGACTGAACATCTAGAAGCCAGGGGAAGGGCCTGGGATGCATGGCTGCCTCAGAGTTCCAGATGTGGGTTTTGCAGGAAAGAGCAGGCATGGGGTTGTCTTGGGTTCCATCCAAAAGAACTGCCCAGAAGGATGTGGAGACCTCAGTACAGAAGAAAGTGGTGGACTGGGGCGCCTGGGTGGCTGTCGGTTAAGCGTCTGCCTTCGACTCAGGTCATGATCCCGGGGTCCTGGGATCAAGTCCTGCATCAGGCTCCCTGCTCAGCAGGGAATCTGCTTCTCCCTCTCCCTCTCTGTCAAATAAATAAACAAAATCTTTAAAAAAAAAAAAAAGAAAAAGAAGAAGAAAGTGGTGGATACAGCCAGATGCCCAAGAGCTGAGAAGACTCTCAAGCAAACACCCAGACAGTGCTTCTTCCAGGGCCAAGGGAACTACAGAAGCAAGGGCCCAGCAGGAAGCCCTCCTTGAGACAGTCAGTCGTCTGTCCTTTCCCTTCTACTCCTACCCAAGGCCAGGTTGAATGTGCCAAGCACAGAGCATACTGCCTTGAGCCAAGGGAGAAAGAGTCCCTTACTTTTTCTAGGACGTGAACCTGGACCTGTCTGATTCTAATACTTGTGCTTTAATTCACTGAAAAACACATTAAGAACTGCTCTATCAGACCCAGGGCCACTTTGCAGATCTCAAAAGGAATTATTTTCCCAATTTTATATCTAATACCTTCACAATTTGGGATGGCCTTAGATTTTACCCTATTCAACCCATCAGCAGAAGTTCACCTCTAACAAGGAAACTCTTCATTGGCCTGAAGGTACTGGACTTTCCTTTTGTGTAAAAAACAGTAGCAAAATTAGTGGGTCTTATTCTAATCAAATTAGCTTTCAGGCAATGAATAATTTATAAAGCAGCATATCATTTTTGGAAAACCACAGAGAAAATGAGTAAGAGGGAACTTAAGGGCACTCTGAAGCTAAAGGGAGGTTCTCAAGAGGTTAATGTAGCTCAGTGCACACACCAGCAACTGCAGTGAGTTGCAATGACATCTGACAACAGTCTCTTCTCTTTTCTAACAAGAGGACTGTGAATCCACTCTGAGATCTACAACAGGTATAATACAAACAGCTAAAGGTTATTCAAAAGCTAAAAGCTAAGGATTCTGGTCTAAATGGTTTAGAAAATTAAATGTTAGTGATGATTATCAAATAATAACTACACAGAGAGGCAACTGATACTAAAACAACAACAAACTACCTTTGAAAGCCACAATTTTTATGAAGACCCTGCATGATATCGTACTAACCACACAGATGTCATCCAGTAAATATTTGGTTGTGCTATTCAGGCCCTTCACTCTCGATGACTAAGGTTGAAAGTTCTTTACCGTGTAACCAGTCACCAGAGAATGAGAGTTGTACCAATTTGTTGGCCTTCTCACCCAAAACAAAAGCACAGTGTTCCAGTAGCATGTAGTCTTACCTAAGACATCTTTCTCATGCTCAGGAACGAGCACTTTCCACTTTGACTCCTCCGGATCCGTGAAGTCAATGTTGATCAGGCGATAGTTGGGCGAATGGCGATTTGTCTTGAATGTGAACACTGTCCCCTCGTTGGTCACATAGTCATACTCTCCTTCAAAGTTGTCGATCAGTTTTATCCACTTCAGGATTCCTGGTGAGAGACCAAGCATCCCTGTCACCTCTCCTGTGTTGAAAATGGTGTGCTTTATTTATGTGTAGGGAAGGGAGGGCAGGTCTTTTCTGTCCACGGAACACAAAGCAGACACAGTATTTGGAAGATGTAAGGCTTGAGAAAGAGCAAGGACAAGTGCGGGTGAATTTAAAGGTTTTTAAAAATATGAAGAAATTCTTTTCCTGAAAAACCCAGCCATTAAGGAGACTGAAGGACCTCTCCTCTCAGCACCCTGCCCCATGTAATCTGGGAAATCCTCTTCTCCCTGAGTGTGTCTCAAATCTGAGCACTTCCTTCTACCTCAACTGCCACCGCATCATTCCACATCTTCATCATTCCACTCTGGGTCTCTGGCAGTGGCTCCTCCCCAAGCAGATTTCACATACACACACACGACACATAAAGAGACACACATACACAGAGATGATTTCACTAACACACACACACACACACACACAGGGTTGATTTCACACTAAATGCCACTTACAAAAATAAAAAATATAAATTATAAAAAAAAAAACCACTGGGAAGACATCTATTTCACAATGTGACCGACAGAGATGCTCAGAGTACATTTCAAAAGTTTTATAAACAAACAAGCTCTATGATTTCTGAACTACTGAAAGGCAATGCCAGATCTTAGCTATTCTCTAATTAATCTCCTGCCTTAAATTTCTCAGTAAAATTGCTACATTAATTTGGATAGTTCGTTTATGTTCCTTCAATCTTTCAAGGCAATTTTACATTATCTCATTCATCTCCATAGCATAATATTTTTATACGATTTTTTTGCTGAATTAAATTTATCAAGAAAAATACACTCCCATGGTAAAAAGAGAGGTTTTTTTGTGAGATATAACTGAATTAAAACCTCAGCTCCACTATTTAGTTGTGTGACCCTGAGCAATCTCTTTATCTTCCACTAAGCTTCATTTTCTCAACTGTAAACTAGGACAAGTAAGTCTATTCAAAAACTATTATAAAGTGACTACTAATACCTACCCCACAACGAAAACACAACAAATATTATTTTAAAACAAATGACTAAAATTAAAACTAATAATAAGATAAGCAGTTAAACAAAATCTATAGCTTTCTTATAGGCCAGCAATAACCAGTTAGAAAACATGGGATGAGGAGGGCCCTCTCTTACACAGTAGAAGCAAAATTAATACTTAGGAGTGCACTTAACATGAAATGTGGAATCTATATGAAGAAAGCTCTAAAATTTTCCTAAGGAATCCTAAAAGCAACAACAAAAAACCCTGAATAACTGGAAACACATATCTCTAGATGGGAAGACTCAGTATTTCAAAGCTGTAAATAATCCCAAAGGAAATCTATAAATTTAACATAATTCCAATCAAAATTCAAATGAGTTTTAGGGCATTTGACATCATTCTAAAGTCCATTTGAAAGAATACACACGTAAGGATACTCAAAACATTTTTCATAATAGAATGAGGAGGATGCCCTATGATGCTGTGAATGAGCCCCCCTCCTCCTGAAGGTAATCATCATCCTGATTTTTACATTAATTACTTCATTTTCCTTTGTTCTTTTCCTGCTTTAATATGCATCCATAAAACCTACAGTCTAATTTTGCCTTATTCTTGAATCTCATGTACAGTGAAGCCATACAACATGTATTCTTTCGTGTCTGACTTTTTTCACATGATGTTATGTTTGTGAAACTGTTCATCCTCTGGTTATTGTTAGTGACTTTTGGCTGAATCCTACTGTGCTCAAAGAACACACTCTGTATGACTCCAATCTTTTAAAACTTGCTGAGAAAAACTTTATGACCTAATTATTTTTCCATTAGTGATTTTTAAATGTTCCCGTATGTTCCTGCATATTTTGCAGCTGTCGGGTATGATATGCTAAATATATCTATTAAGTCATTTGTTACTCACATTGTTCAAATCCATGTATTTACTGATTTGGGGAGCCATTTTTTTTCTGTCAGTCACAGAAAAGGTCTGTTAAAATGTCCCTCTGTGATTGTGGATTTATTTTTACTTGCATTTCTGTTAAATTGTTCTCTGTATTTTGAAATCATGCCTTTCAATATACACAAAGTTAGAATTATTATATTTAAATAAAACTCAACCTTTTAATGGTAATGAAGTTTTATCTTTAGCAATGCTTTTTACTTTGAAGTCTACTTTGATGTTGAGACAGCTATGTGATTTTCACGGTAACATTTTGGGCCAGTTGTCCTCTGCAAAATGGTTCCAATTGCATTATCATTTCTGAAAAGATTCCCTTGTTTTCAGGTCTCTTAACCGCTCATGCTTTCCACTTCTTGGTGGGCTACATTCTAGGTAATTTCTTTACATCCATATTCTAATTCCTTTATTCTCTCTTCAGCTGTGTCTAATTTCTTCAACCTAATAACTGAATTTTTTAATGTAAATAACCATATTCCTTATTTGTAGAAATTCCTTTTTTTTTTTTCCCCCAAAGATTTTATTTATTTATTTGAGAGAGAGAGTGAGAGAGAGTGAGCACGAGAGGGGGGAGCGGGAGAGGGAGAAGCAGACTCCCTGCTGAGCAGGGAGCCCGATGTGGGACTCGATCCCGGGACTCCAGGATCATGACCTGAGCCGAAGGCAGTCGCTTAACCAATTGAGCCACCCAGGCGCCCTATTTGTAGAAATTCTACTTAGTCTCCTCCCAATCTGGTCATTCTTTACAATATGTCGTTTCCTGCTCATACTTCCAAGCTTCTTGTTTATTTTTTTTGTAAAAGCAGCATCACATTGTTTATTTTTAAAAGTGTATTTAATGTACTTATTTTACATTAGGAATGGGTAAGTCCACTCTGCTACTTCTGTTGCTCTATTTCTCATGCTGGTGATTTTGTCTGATTTGTTTTTTTTTTAATTTGAGATTTTTGACTGTGAAATGATTTCCCTTGAAACATTATCTGTGGCAATTCGTGGAGGCCTCAGTTAAAGTGGCACTCCTCCAGAGAAGATTTCTATTTGGCTTCCATTTGCCTGTTGGGAGGCAACCAATCTGGGAGCCCTTTAAATTCTTGGCATGAGGATGTTTGGACCTCAGAGGGACAATCCAGACAACCTGTACCCATGTCAGTCTTTCTCATATTTTAGGAGAATTCACATCCTGCTGCTCCCTCTCCCTCACTAGTGTGAAGGTAAAAACAGGCAGGTTTTCTTCTCCTCTCCCCTCCCCATCCCCCCACTCTCAGGCTTATTTCTTAATCACCATTACATTGAGGGTATCCCTTATTAGACTTTCCAACATGGACAACCAGAGGCCTTATCGTCCATTCCCCTTGCCCTAAGTGGCCATCAGATGGGAACTCAACCCCCAAAGCCCAGCAGGAACATTCCAGAACAATCCTGGATTCCTGCTTTCATTTTTGTCTTTGGTCTCTATGGTTTCTCTCTCTTTTCTCTTTTTTTTTTTGTGCCAACTTGGCAATATATTTAGAAAGATACTTTATAAACTTTTTACGGCATTTCGGTTGTTTCAACTGGGAGGTTACTCAGAATATATAATCTGCTAAACTCCCTCAAAGAGAAATCCTTACAATTAATTCTTCTAAAGGTTAAGCTGTGCACTCAAGTTACAATTTTTTTTCAGTGACAAACTGCTAATCTCAAAAGCAGGTGACCAATCAAAGGTAACCTCATTTTAATTTACATAAAACAATACTTTAAAAGGAAAAAAGCCCAAAAACTATTCCTTAGAAGAATAAGTAAATAAGTAAAAATTAGGAGGTAAAGCAAAAATTGCAAACAATCAGAAAGGTACATTTGTTTATGGTAAGAATGATGAATCACAATTTTCTGGACTATGACATTTGTAGACACAGAGTTTTGGTTCAGGAAAATGTCAGATCCTTAAATGTTCCCCTGACAATAAAACATTTCCTGATGTGCAACCTTTATTTCTCAAAGTAACCATCTTACGGTTTCTGCCTGAAAAGGTCTTGCAGCCATTGTACTGATATTTATGACCCTAGACACCACTCCCCCAACACAAAAAGTCACTGAAATATCTACCAAAGGCCCAGTAGAAATTGCCTTCAGTATCTCTGTGTAATCAGGTGAGCCTGAAGATGTGGCACATTTGTTTTAAATAATCAAGGCTCCAGTGAACACCAAAACAACAGAGTTTGTGGTCGTATCTACCACCAAATTCTGGAGTATTAACCTTAGTCATTAATAAATACTACAAGTCATAAATTCACTCAAATTTAGGTATGTGACTGGATTTATACAAATGTCATTCAAAGTACTGGCCCCCATGGGGCAGCATGTTTAAAACGGAGCTCCTTCTGCTCTCCTGAAACCCTTGCTCCTCAGGGCTCTGGCACAAAATAACTCAAGAGAAATGGTATTTCAGTTGAACAATGGGGCTCACTCAGTTTTGCTATTCACAAGTCAGAACACTATTGATTTAAATGGAAAGCAGAAAAATTACTTTAAAAAAAAAAAAAGACATGGCTTAACTCCCAAACCATCTCACTTTTTGCCAACCCTTTCTTAGATTCTTTTCTCTGTAAGTGGCATTATTCACTCTGAAGCCAAAAGAATTCTATTCCCAAACTTCTCCACATTAAAGTTAAAATTACTTTTTATAGATCTGATTCTGGGTGGGGGAATGATTTGTTTACTGAGTGAAGATTAGCATAAAGTAAGTCATCTTATGCTTTCCCTAGAGCAAAGTCATTACTTTTATCGCTTTCTTTGAAAATGCACGGTATTAACTATGTTTCATAGAAAATGTTTTGTAAACTCTCACAACAGGAGCTAAAAAGTGCTTTTATACTTTACGAAACCCTATGTAACAATATAAAAATGGAAAGTGTGGTCTTGCTCTAAAACTGAGGGGGCAGAAGGTGGCTGTTCTCCTTGGCCTGACACCTTCCTTCCATCCTCCCCTGCCTCACAGTGAGTTAGAACAGGGGCTTGGGAGTTTCAACTGACCTGAGACTGAAT